AAAAAAAAAAAAAAATACATCAGCCTACCATCAGTGGAGTCAACACTGACTACTTGGAACTATGTAAGGTTCACTGTAAACACTCACGGATTTAAACAACCTACTCTTTCCAGAAGTGGTGCTGTGGCTCAAGTGGTAGAATAGTAGTCGAGCACAGAGAGGCTCAGGGACAAAGCCTGGGCCCTGAATTCAAGCCCCAGGACCAGCAAAAAATAATAAAAACGGTCTTCCCTTACCTACTGGGAAACCAAAGACACCAGACTGTGCAATCATAGATGGTTCAAGGGAGCTTTCTTGGTTAGCAATAGTGATATTTCGCAGCCTAAGGCTATCATAGAGGCCTTGGAGCTTTTGATACTGGCGATTACGCTCCATAAGTTTCTCAGAGATGTCACTGAACTTTTTCTTGTATTCTTCTAACACTTTCTTCATAGAGGTGACCTCCCCTTTCATAGAGGTTAACTCTACATCCTTGCTCTGTATTTGCTGAGTATATATTTTCTCCATCTGTTTCAGATGGCTTTCAGCCTTGCTGAAATTGTATTCCTGATAGAGACGTTCCTGATGTACCTGTCCCAAGACCAAGAAAAATTTTTAAGATTAAAAAATACAAAGATATATTATAAAACATCAAAAGGAAAAGATCCTGATATAGGGATATCATAATATATAGAACCAGGTTAAAATGCAATCAGAACAGTAAGATTATAAACATAACATTGTATTATTAAATGCATAGAAAAATACAAAGAAATTCTCTCAAACCACTACCATTAAAACACCAAAACAACAGCATGTCTTATTTAACAAGTGACTTCCATGCCATGATCTTGTTTAAGAAATCCTATTTCAGGAAGTGGCACTGTAGATCAAGTGGTAGAGCGCTAGCCTTGAGCTGAAGAGCTGAGGGACAGTGCCCAGGCCCCACAACCCACAAAAAAAAAAAAAAACTGGGCTGGGAAGGTGGCTCAGTGGTAGAGCGCTTGCCTTGCATGCACAAGGCCCTGGGTTCGATTCCTCAGCACCACATAAGCAAAAAGAAAAAAGCCGGAAGTGGTGCTGTGGCTCAAGTGGTAGAGCGCTAGCCTTGAGCTGAAGAGCTGAGGGACAGTGCCCAGGCCCAGAGTTCAGGCCCCACAACCGGACCCAAAAAAAAAAAAAAGACTGGCCCCTTCCTCAAGAAGCTCACCTTCCAGTAAGCGAAGAAAGTCAACAAATAGCAGAGTAATTAATAAGTACATGAGAAAGAAAAGTGCTTTGAAAGAAGAGAAAGTAGCAGAGTTGGGAAGAGTATGCTGAAAAGGGGGGTGTATGGGCGGGGAAGACTCAATATATATGCCCTGTCTTATTGACAAAGACTTGAATAGCCTCGTGGTTAGCTAGAGAATGAACATCTCAGGGAGAAAAGAAAATAAATAAATAAATAGAATAAAACAGGCTCTTCCTAGGCAATAAGGGAGAAATATTCTTTCTACCTGCTCAGCTAGTGAAGACTGGGACCAAATGCCATAGGGAACAAAGGAGAGGAAGTAAGCAGGGGAATTGGGTGGGGGACTGGGTTCAGGTCCTGCACAGCTTCTCAGGCCATTGAAGGACTTTGGACTTTACCCTGCATAGCTGGAAGTGATAAATGTGACTTCGGTGTGAATAGAACTTCTGTAGCCAAATGCTGAAAGCAAAATGGAGGGAGGAAAGCTGGAAAATGACCCAATCAGTGACAAAACTGCAAAGTGCAGGAATGTGATGTATTTTAGAGACAGTGACCCAGCATTTACTACAACGTTAGGATGATGTTTAGAGAGAAAAGTTAATGAATGCAAGGAGTCTGGGTTGAGTCCCTGAAATGATGGAATTGCCATACATAGACATGGGGAAAAGTGGGCCAAGTAGACACAGACTCCAATAGTAAATATGCTGCATACAAGATGTCCAGAAGATTCTAGGACACATAGCTTGCCTTGGCACCTTCCTGGCTTTCCCATCCATACTTTAGTCCAGACATCTATAGTTAGTCCAAGGCCTCCTACAGTTCCCCTAACCACTTCAATCCAGCTCCAGCTTCTGACTGGTTATTCTTAACCAGTCTACCATGCTCTCCCCTACTCAGTTGCCAGATGTTAATCAGTCAGGAGTATTCAGGAGCATGATCCACCAACTCCAGTACTGCCTGAACACGTGAGACAGGAACTAGCCAAGTCATCCAATATTGTCTTTGCTGCCCTGAACAAATGGCTGCCCTTTTTGCCATTTGTAGTCCCTCTGATAATATTTTTTCTTATTGTTCAGTCCTGGTTTCATAGGATTTCTTTCAGATTTCATCCGAAGACACATATGCACATTCATCACCAACGAACAATTACTGCTGCCTTCTTCTGGGAAGGACAGCTCTGCCTTCTATACCTAATGTCAAGGCCCTCTGCCAGCAGGAAATAGCCAAAAGAATCAGCACCCCTCTATAACTATCAATATTGGAATGTTAGATCTACCAGGGAAAAATGGCCCCTTCCCCTTTGTTCTACTTCCCTGCACATGTGGCCCTCCCCTAGGAGCCCCAACCTAACACCTGTAACCCAGGTAACTGGCACCCTTAGGGGCAGTGGGATGTTCCCCCAGGCCTCTGAGGTCATATCTTCATCTGCCTCAGTCACTTCCTTTGGACCGTGAGAGGCTCCCAGACTCTGAAGTCACTTCCACAGCGGCTGTGGCCATAACTTTTCCCCGCCCTCCCCCTATGTAATCTATCTCCATCAGTAGTTTTCCCCTCTACACACTTATGTTCTGCCAATAAACTCTTCTACATGAACAACCCTGTGGAGGTCTCCTTTCTCCAAACCTTACAATTAGTATGTGTGATACTGTCCTATTTTTACACAGAAAAGTGTGTATATAATATATATGCAAAAAAAATCTGAGTAAAGGATTTTTCTTCCTTTCAAATTTACACAAAACATTATTTGTAATTTTGTAAGCAACTTACTAAAATTTTCCATGCATATATAAAAATAAGAACCAGTGTATAATAGAAACTCCCAAAGAGAAATTAACATACAAACAAACCTGATATGTCCAGAAGGCCAGTGCTCGGGAACTAATGTCCAACACAATCTCTGGTCTCAGCCCTGCTAATACCATAGCTTTATATTCCTCTGATGGACTGAGTTCTGTGCGGACAATATCTAGTTTTCCAGAAAGGGTACTGTTACAGGCAGGGCAGATAGCTGGTGAACGACTAAACTCACCACTACCATGCTGATCACAGAAGATGTGAGAGCAGGCAGTAACCCATGCATACCCAGAGAGTTTGCAGCGACACTTTCGGTAATTACAAAGCAGCATATCTTCACACAAAGACATGATAAGGAGGTTGTCAGATCCTGAGAAGTCCTAATAAGAGGTAAATGAAAAGGCAAGTAGGTCAAATTGTAATTAAAATAAACAAGTGAAAATATTTTACCAATATTGAGTATTTTGTTTTAGTATATATTATAATCAATATTGATTTCAGAAATCCAACAGTCTCTTTTGATAGCATAAAAAAAACTAAAAGAAAAATATACAGGTGATCCCAAAACTTACTTGAACTTATATTTACAAAACATAAAATTGATTTATTCTGAATTTTTTCAAAATGCTGTACAATGAAGTTGCATCCATCTAGTCTCTAATACTTCTTGTGCAGTCACTCCTTCCATAATCCTCAACCCCAATCTGGTTCCCTCACCTGACTCACATTTCCTACTTTCTTCATCACATACATAAGAGTGTATTGAGTGTTCCCTACACTGTTAACTGCTATTTGTCATTCACTATCCAAGCCAAAATTCATTCTTTGCTAGAATATTTTAGTACATCTCAGACTTAACAAACGTAAAATTCCAAGCATGATTTCAGGCATTTCTTTGGAAAAATTACTAATTTCAACATTATTCACTGCTATGTTTTGACTTAAACGTTAAAAAAAAAAATATCCATTGGCTCACACCTATAATCCTACTTAATATCCCATCCAGTTCAGGCAAGAAAGCCCATGACTTTTATTTCCAATTAACCACCAAAAAGCCAGTAAAACTGTAGCTCAAGCAGTAGAGAACCAGCCTGAGGTCAACTGGCAGAGTGCTAGCCTTGAGCAAAAAAGGCTCAGGTATAGAAGCCGTAAGTTGGCTCTGTGGTAGAGTGCTTGCCTCGCACACATGAGGCCCTAGACCACATAAACAGAAAAGGCCAGAAGTGGTGCTGTGGCTCAAGTGGTAAAGCACTAACCTTGAGCTGAAGAGCTGAGGGGCAGTGCCCAGGCCCAGAGTTCAGGCTCCATGACCGACAAAAAAAAAGTTCAGGTACATTCCTGAGTTCAAACCTCACAACGGGCACCAAAAATTAAAAAACTGCAGCCTGGGTCCCAGGGTCACTCACACAGATGCCTGCATCCGTTCCCACAGGTAAAAGTCATCTAGCAGCCCATAAGAGTAATTTTTGCCTCCAGACCACAGAGTAAGCAGGAGCGAGCAGCTTTTCCCGTGGAACCTTCCCCCAGAAACTTGGGAGTGGCAGCCAACTTCCTATTCCCCACAACTGGGAAAATGCGCGCTTCTTCACGGCCGTACAACCTGGAGGCCAAATTTTTGAGAATAAACTCACAGAAAATTGTCAAAATTCCAACTTGCTCTCCACACTCAGCAAATAAAATAATGAGCACAACAATACGAAGAGAAAAAACTTACAGCCAAACACCACCTCAGGAGCTCTGCTAACACGTGACCACCCGGCTGCTCTGACACTGAATCAGAGCGCGTGCGCAGAGCCGCGTGGTGCCTCCTGGGTAGCGAATATGCTGGGATAGATGGATGTTTGGGAGCTGGGGGGGGGGGGGAGCAGGATCTCACAAGGCGCAGGCGCGGGATCTGATCTACAAGGACAGGATAGGAGGCCTGTAGGAGTGGGTCTCACAGAGCACAAGCTTGAGCGTGGGCTCACCAGGGGCCTCACCGCTAGCTGCAGCCAGTATGAGTACAGTTCATGAAGGGTGGGCAGGTAGGCAGCAAAGGCTTTGTAAGTAATCAGGAATAATTCTAGAAATTGTGTGACACTGGAAACAGTAACTTTTCCTTGACTCAGCATTACAAATATTCAGAAACTGCTTGAAAGAAAGTCATTTGGATCTGTTGGTCATACTTGGAGGTAATCAGGAGTCCAGATTTTGGCAGTACTAAAGCCTGAATTCAGGGCTGGGAAGGTGGCTCAGTGGTAGAGTGCTTGCCTTGCATGCATTAGACCCTGGGTTCGATTCCTCAGCACCACATACACAGAAAAAGCCAGAAGTGGCGCTGTGGCTCAAGTGGTACAACACTCGTCTTGAGCTGAACAGCTGAGGGACAGTGCCTAGGCCCAGAGTTCAAGCCCCATGACCGACAAAATAAATAAATAATAAAGCTTGAATTCGGGGCCTCAGGCTTGCTCGACTCGCAAACTTACTCAGTTGGTGTGCCACGACTGAAGCCATGGCTCCAGACCTGGTTTTTCTTGATTATTTTTGGAGATGGGATCTCTAGGAATCTCTCACCAAGGCTGGTTTCCAACAGTCATTCTCTGGATCCCAGCATCCTCAGTAGCTAGCTCAGTATCCCTGACATTAAACTGGCATAAGCCATATCATTTGGCTTGCTGATAGTCTTTAAAACAATGATACTGCTTTAGTCTAATGTTCTTACCTATCCTTTGCTTTTGGGTTTTGTGCTGTTTTTTTTTTGTCAGTTATGGGGCTTAACTCAGGGCCTATGCACTGTCCTTGAGTGCTTTTGCTCAAGACAAGCAATCTACCGCTTCAACCACAGCTCCACTTCCAATTTTCTGGAGTCTCACAGAGTTTCCTACCTGGACTGGCTTTGAACTGCAATCCTCAGATTTCAGCTTCCTGAGTAGCTAGGAGACAGGGCAAACCACTTCACTTTGCTTTTTAATGCTTACCTCTAGCAATAATGATTTTTTAAACATACAGACTTAAGAGATCAGACTTAAATGTGACTGAGAGGGGTTGAAGAGTACTCAGGTTTCAAACCTTAATGCTCACTTTTAGAGCCATCTTTCCATTTTCAGGATGTCACCCTAAATGAATTAGTAACCAATTCCATCAGCCACACTATGGATAACATGCTACAAAGCTTTTCCGCAAGATGTGAATCCATTAAACTTTTTTCCTTCAAACAAGAACCTTCTCTACTTAAGCAGCATTTTATTACTAATTTAATGCTACTGTCCCAAGTTGCAGTCAAGTAACATAGTAAGTCCATATATAAGCTGTGTGCTCCTACCACATTATTTTGGCTAATTAGGTCTTTGGTACATTTTCTGGTTTCAACTATGCCAAATATAGAAATATTTAAGTATAAAAAAGCATGATCTCATTGAAAATTTAAAAAGATTGCATAGCATTCAAATTTCAACTCCATACCTAACTGTAGTCCTACCCAAGTCATATCTTAATTATAATATAAATCTCTTCTTGGTGATGTGTCCCAGTAGCACATAGGTGAATTTGTTAAAATTAAAATTATATAAATGTAAGTACAAGTATAAATAAATTTAGTTACCCCTACCTAACATAAAGAATCTGAATAGGGCTGGGAATATGGCTTAGTGGTAGAGTGCTTACCTAGCATGCATGAAACCCTAGGTTTGATTCCTCAGTATCACATAAACAGAAAAAGCCAGAAGTGGCACTGTAGTTCAAGCGGTAGGTAGGGCACTAGCCTTGAGCTGAAGAGCTGAGGGACAGTGCCCAGCAAGGCCAGCGCCCAGACCCAGAGATCAACCCCCCACGACTGACAAAAAAAGAAAAAAAATGTGCAGGAAAGTATGTATGACTCACACTAGTAAACCTACCTTCTTGGGGGGACTGATATCTGGAGGCCTGAAATTCAAGGCCAGCCTAGGAAGAAAAACTTATTATTATTAGACACTTTCACAACAAAGTGGATGCTGTCTTCTATGCCTGCTATAGCTAAACTTGGAAGGCTAATAGAGGTAGGATTAAGACCCTATCTCAAAGGTAATCAGGAAAACTCAGGATTAGAACTGTCACTAATGACTAGTGCCTGTAATCCTAACTACTCAGAAGGCTGAGATCTGAGAATCACTATTTAAAGGCAGCCGGCATAGAAAAGTCCAGGAGACTACCAAAAAGGCTTAAGTACAACTGTGGCTCAAACAGTTGAGTGCTATCTTTGAACAAAAAGCTAAGGACAGCACCCATGCCCTGGGTTCAAGCCCCAAGACTGGCACAAAACAAAACAAAAAAAGGCTGGAGATGTGGTTGGGTGGTAAGAACACCTATTTCAGCAAATACAAGATGTACTCAAATCTCAGCAACAGAAAAAAAAATCTATTAATAAAACTATACATAAGAAAAATATGGGCTGGGAAGGTGGCTCAGTGGTAGAGCACTTGCCTTGCATGCCAGAGGCCCTGGGTTCGATTCCTCAGCACCACATAAACAAAAAAGAAAAAAGCCAGAAGTAGCGCTGTGGCTCAAGGGGTAGAGCACTAGCCTTGAGCTGAAGAGCTGAGGGACAGCACCCAGGCCCAAAGTTCAAGCCCCACGACCGGACCAAAAAAAGAAAAAAAAAAGAAAAATATTTGTAGACTCTATTTTAAAAATCAACTTACTTTTTTCATATTTCTCAATATATAGCTGATTTGACAATCATTCTTCACTTACTCTAAAGGATCAAACACCATAATCACATATTAAGAGGATCTATGTGTACTCACTTTAACATACACATATAATTATTATCTATCAGTCCAAGTACCAGTTAGTTCATGTATTGCAATTAAAACAGTTGCTATTTCCAACAATGTTTTTAGATCACGGAAAAAAAAAATGAATCAATGAAGATTTTTTAGTATTTCTTCTGGGTCAGATATTAGGATCTAGGAATAATAGAAAATATTACTCTTTTTCTTGCCACCTTTTACATTTTACAGGGTGATTCAGTAAAAACACTTCTAGCTTTCATCTTTACCATGTATTTTGGGGCTGGCAACTTAGCTCAATAGTAGAGCACTTGCCTGCCAGATGTTTAATTCCCCAGTCACATACAATCATTTACCTTTATGTTGTAAAGAAAGTTTGGGAGTGTTTTTGTTTTTGTTTTCTATTTTTTGCCAGGCCTCAGGCTTGAAATCAGGGCCTGGGCACTTTTCCTGAGCTTCTTTTGCTCAAGGGTAGGACTCTACCACTTGAACCACAGTGCCACTTCCAGTTTTTTTCTGTTTATATGGTGCTAAGGAATAGAACCCAGGGCTTCATGTATTCTAGGCAAGCCCTCTGCCACTAAGCCATACTCCCAGCCCAAGAAAGTTATTTTTAAAGTTCCTTGAAATGTGAGATATACTAAAAAAAATTCAGTAAAACATTATGATACAAACATTTTTGATTCAAAGTATAATGTTTTAGCAACACCCAGGATCAATTGACTATAGCTTTCTTTTATATAGCCTAAACCAGAGCTATTCAAATATTATCACAACCAAAGAATTTTCTAATTATATTACTGTATTAAATCTTCTTTGCAAGTACTTTTTTTTCCACCAGTGCTGGGGCTTCAACTCAGGGCCTTGTTCTCTGGTTTAACTTTCTCTCAAGATTGGTGCTCTTGCTGGGCTTATGCCAGTAATCCTAGCTACTCATGATCTGAAGATCATGGTTCAAAGCCAGCCCAGGCAGGAAAGTCCATTGACACTTTTTTTTTTAAATTTTGTCAGTCGTGAGGCTTGAACTCTGGGCCTGGGCACTGTCCCTCAGCTCTTCAGCTCAAGGCGAGCACTCTACCACTTGAGCTACAGCGCCACTTCCGGTTTTCTGGTGGTTTATTGGAGATAGGAGTCTCACGGTTTCTCCTGCCCGGGCTGGCTTTGAACCGCGATCCTCAGATCTCAGCCTCCTGAGTAGCTAGGATTATAGGCGTGAGCCACCAGCGCCTGGCTCCATTGACACTCTTATCTCCGATAAACCACTCAGAAAACCAGAAGTGGCAGAGTGGTTCAAGTTGTAGAGTGCAAGCTTTGAGCTGAAAGCTGAGGGACAGCATTCAGGTCCAGAGTTCAAGCTCCATGACCAACAACAAAAAAAAGATTGGTGCTCTACCTCTCAGAGAGCCACACTTCTACTCTGGCATTTTGGTCAGAGAAGTCTCAAGGACTTTCCTGCCCAAGCTGGCCTCAAACTGTGATCCTATCCTCAGATCTCACCCCCCTAAGTAGCTAGGATTACAGCTAGGCCACCAGCACACAGTTAAAAATACATTTTTTGGTTTTGCTTTGTGCCAGTCCTGGGCTTGAAACCAGAGCCTGGGCACTGTACCAGAATGGTTTTGCTCAAGGACAACACTTTACCACTTGAGCCATACCTCCATATCTGGATTTTTGGTGGTTAATTGGAGAGAAGAATCTCACAGACTTTCCTTCTGAGTCGGTTTAAAACTGTGACCCTTAGATCTAAGCCTCTTATAGGATTACAGGGCCTGAGCCACCAGCACCAGCTCAAAGGTACATTTAAAATCTAGAATTACTACCTGCTTTTTGTTTGACTCTGCAAAAATCAGAAGGTACTAATGGACAGCCACCCTGTCTTCATGGTGCCCTGAGTGAAGACAAGCCACTTTTGTATACTATGGACCAAAACCCCACTGCCGAAGCTCCAAGCAGTGAAAGGACAAGCCATTCAAAGTTTATCTCCAACTTACCTATTTTTAAGAAACACTTATAAAAATAAAAATACCAGAAATGCTCTTCTATGATAGGAATCATTACACTTAAATAAGAACTAGAAGAGAAGGCGAAGGGTGACATTACCCAAGAAGCATTGTACTTACAACCTGAATTATGGAATTGTAACCACTTAGCACAATTTAATAATAATAATAATAAAGAACTAAAGACAGCATTACTGATTATTTGATATAGCTAGTAAAAATAACAAGTTAATGTCAAGAAAGATCAACTAAGAAAATGGAATTGAGGGCTGGGAAGGTGGCTTAGTGGTAGAGTGCTTGCCTTGCATGCCTGAGGCCCTGGGTTCAATTTCTCAACACCACATAAGCAAAAAGAAAAAAGCCTGAAGTGGCACTGTGGCTCAAGTGGTAGAGCGCTAGCCTTGAGCTGAAGAGCTGAGGGACAGAGCCCAGACCCAGGTTCCGGCCCCACGACCGGACCCAAAAGAAAAAAAAAGAAGAAAATGGTATTGAGCCGGGCGCCAGTGGCTCACGCCTCTAAACCTAGCTACTCAGGGGGCTGAGATCTGAGGATGGAGGTTCAAAGCCAGCCCAGGCAGTAAAGACCATGAGACTCCTATCTCCAATAAACCACTAGGATGCCAGAAGTGGCGCTGTGGCTCAAGTGGTAGAGCGCTCGCCTTGAGCTGAAAAGCTCAAGGACAGCACCCCAGGCCCAGAGTTCAAGCCCCACGACCAACAAAAAAAATAAAATAAATAAAATTAAAAAAAAAGAAAATGCTATCGTAACTATAGATACAGATGTATAGTCCTATTACCATACAATCTAATATACACATGAACTGATAATAAAATAGCTAACATTTATACATCATTACAATGTTTTATAGTATTCTACACTCCATTCATTTCTCTAATTCAATCTTTCCAGTAATCACCCTTAAGTCAGATAATATCATATTCTAAGACATAAAGTTAGGAGACGAAGGGGCTGGGAAGGTGGCTCAGTGGTAGAGTGCTTGCCTTGCATGCCTGAGGCCCTGGGTTCGATTCCTCAGCACCACATTAGCAAAAAGAAAAAAGCTGGATGTGGCGCTGTGGCTCAAGTGCTAGCCTTGAGCTGAAGAGCTGAAGGAGAGCGCCCAGGCCTAGAGTTCAAGCCCCACGACAAGACCCCAAAAAAACAAAACAAAACAAAGTTAGGAGACTAAGAAGTTAAGAAATATGTCACAAGAAAGTCTGAGACTCTCATCTCCAATTAACCTCCAGAAAAACAGGAAATGGTGCTTCGGCTCAATTGATAAACTGTTCACCTTGAGCTGAAGATCTCAGGGAAAGCACCCAGGACAAGACCCACAGCTGACAGAAAAGAAAAAAAAAATGGAAAAAAAATAATTTAGGCAGAAATATATTATTGGTCTATAAATTATTTTTAAATTCATATGTCATGAAAAGTCCATTTCAATAAATCTATCATAACCTTTAACTGACTATAGTATAGCCATTTATGATTTATAAGTAATCTTATAGACTGATAAAATACAAACTGTCAACATAAATAACTGATAGAATTAGAACAGTTACTAGTGGCTTTTCCTTTTTGTAGTGCTTAAAATTTTAGACTTTAGCTGTCTCAGAGATTATCCCAAAGATTAAAGTGCAAAGTCCAGGTCATAGTGCCAGATTCATAATTCCAAGATATAGGGTTTATGTGTCACCACAGGCTAAACTCCAGAGACTAACAAGCTGAATTCAATTTTAATCGTTGCCCTTGGCTTTTGTCTGCTCAGAACATGTGTTTAACATCAGGTAGATCCTCTGAAACACGGAGTAACATGCATTTCATCATGGCAAACTGGAAATGAATAAGGGCAAACAATCTGATTCTTTTTCAGTCAACCAGAAAAACATACAGCAAGGATTGAACTGGGATTTTCCTCAACTACAAAATTTCAGCCACACTAACACTGAGCGGATTCATATCTTTCAAGGGAAAACAAAATGTGTGTTTTTATAATCTTACAATTACCTCTGATATCAAATTAATTCAACTTCATTCTAGAAATCAGGTTGAATAACAGAAACAGCCATCTAGTATCATCTCTGGGGGGAAAAAAGTAAATATACAAAGGTAAAAATTCATAATTCATACCAGCATACTCCACATCAAAACATGAAGAAAAGTAAAGTTACTGCCTTTCCTTTATTTAAATTTCCATTTAGTAAGAAAAATTATTTGAATTCGATGACTTTTAAAGTGCCCAAGCTCACCATTTTTTTTTGGGGGGGGGGTTCCGCCATGGGGGTCTGAACTCTGGGCCTGGGCACTGTTCCTCAGCTCTTCAGCTCAAGACTAGCGCTTTACCACTTGAGCCACAGCGCCACTTCCGGCTTTTTTCTTTTTGCTTATGTGGTGCTGAGGAATCAAACCCAGGGCCTCAGGCATGCAAGGCAAGTAAGTGCTCTACCACAGAGCCACCTTCCCAGCCCTTCCTGAGCTCTTTTGCTTAAGGCTAGCAATCTACCACTTCGAGCCACAGTGCCACTTCTGGTTTTCTGGTGGTTAATTAGAGATAAAAGCCTCATGTACTTTCCTGCCCAAGCTGGTTTTGAATTATAACCCTCAGATCTCAGCCTCTAGGATTATAGGCAGGAGTCACCAGTGACCAGCTTAAGGAATTTTTAAAGATCAAATAAAATTATACAGTAAAGCTATCCAACCTGTAAAAGGCTATAGAAGTCAACCATTTCACAATAAGTATGCAAAGA